GAGGTGGGGGGATGGGCGGGGAATGTTTTTTCCTGAGCCATTCAAAGTGGTTTGAAAACGTGAAGTTTGAAAGAGTGCAAGGGAGAAGTCCCCGTGGCCCAGCTCTGTGGGAGCCAGGCGCGGCGAGCGAAGGGCTGTCCCCTGAGCGGACCCGGGGCGTCCTTCGCTGACGTGCAGCGAGGGGGCCGTGCCAGTGGAGTGCCCGTGCCGCTGGGTACGGTCTCCGTGGAGATCGAATAGCAACGAGAAAGACCTCGCCACGCAACTCAGCAGTCAATGGGAGCAGTGAAGGGGGGTTTCCAGGACTGCCTAGGTGAGTTAGGAGCCCGGTTTAGGTTCTAGTCACACCCACACGTTTCCCCCCAGACCCGTGGGTGTTTGGTGGAGTTACCAACAGCTGCAGGTTTAACCACAGGGGCTGCTGCTCCGCTTGCTGTTGGACTTGTGAGGCTGGGCAGGGCATAGCTCTTGTGGTTCTTGCTGAATACTGAGGCCTTCAAGCCATGTCCTGACCCACCCCGAGCCATGGCAGGACAGCAGCAGCCAGCGGCCCAGCCCGGCGTCCTATGGAAAGCAGAGTCAGGCCCTTCCCCTCTCACGCGCCAGCAGGGAGCTAAGGTAAATGGAAGAGTCCCAGGGAGAGAGCAGGTGAGCACTGGAACCTCGGAGTATGTGCCTCTGCGTGGCCTCCCTCCCAGCAGGGACCAGTCTGTGCGCCCACCCCAGCCCTGGCTGGCCCCAGGCAGCTCTCGGGCCCAGCAGCTGCTGTTGTGGGGGCTATTCCCAGGTGTGCCACAGATAGGGTTGCCAGGTGTCCGGTATTCACGCCTCCTGTCTGGTAAAAAAAAAAATTCAGAAAATACCGGATACCTAAGATGTCCGATATTTTCTGATTTTTTTTCCACAGCCAGGAGGCGAAAATGCCGGGCACCTGGCAACCCTACAAACACTCAGTGCCCGGCCTCCCCTTCCCCCCCAAGTTTCCCCCATCTCCCAACACCCCCAGACCACAACCCCCTGCCTATCAGGGTCTGCAAGGCTGACGGCACAAAATGGCTGGCGGCCCAAGGGC